CTTTTTATATGCCCATTTTGAAATTAAACTTCATAATAAACGATAGCTGGCGTAAATAATTATAACTTTGATATTGAAACTATTAAGGATGTAGCTACCATGAAGTCTCACTATCACTATAAAAAGGAAGACATAGGAGGGGTCGTCTCAAAAGCAAAACCAGGACTGGTGTCGCAGACGGTGATTGGGATCGGGCTGGGGGATAGAGATATCAGCTAAGATATGATAATCCTTTAGGGGAATTAAGCTGGCAAAGTAAACGGCATGTCATAACAATTTACAAATAACATCCAGTCCTGTCGATCATCGGGTGGTCATGCCACCTATATATTTTGCGACATTTAATACGATAGCTGATTTAATCTTTTCTATGGGTATCATACTCTTTTACACATCTCAACATAAACTTTATGAAAGAAAGACACGTAATCAATAGATGAAACATATTCAACACACATGAAAAGTATATCATCTTATTTGAGATGACCCCTTGTGCCTGTAGGCAGCACATCCATTTCAGACACCCACGTCTTAGACACTAAATACAGAGATTAATTAAAACAACACCCAAGGCTGAGCGACCTTATTGCCATCTTTAGTCTGATCTATTGTTTTCAGCAGCTGTTCCTATTTTTTCTAAGCTTTGACATGCCTTTTCTGGATATCTAACTATGCATCCCACTGAACGCCCTGTTAGGCCGATATGGGTTTTTTCGATTATGCTATTTGCAATTGTGTAAATTTTAGGGATATAGAGTAACAGCCTAAAAACAGTTGTTTTCTATTTCCGACAGTACTTTAGGTTTGTCAGCGCCCAACCATTTTGCTGGACTTTTACCCTTCGGTACGAAGTGCAGATATCGCACAAGATCATCTTTACCTGTCCTGACAGGTAATACTTTATCGCGGATGTACATTTACCCTCTACACCGCTGGTGACGCCCACACGGCAAGTGGCGGTTGTGAAGTGTGAAGGTGGACAGTGCGGTAAGTTGCTATACATCATAATGTATCAAATACTGGATGGTTGGTCCTGGTATTGATGGAAACACAAGCACACTGTTTCTGGTTATCTGATGTTTCAAGTATTCAATATATTTATAACTATTTACGCCCTGTCCAAGGCCTCAGTCCAAAGTCGAATATTGTTTGTTGTATTCCGTCAGATCTTGACGAGTAAAGTGAGTCGATAATTATGTGTAGTTTATGTCAACAATGATAATTATGTGTAGTTTATGTCAACAATGATAATTATGTGTAGTTTATGTCAACAATGATAATTATGTGTAGTTTATGTCAACAATGATAATTATGTGTAGTTTATGTCAACAATGATAATTATGTGTAGTTTATGTCAACAATGATAATTATGTGTAGTTTATGTCAACAATGATAATTAGGTGTAGTTTATGTCAACAATGATAATTAGGTGTAGTTTATGTCAACAATGATAACTATGTGCAGTTTATGTCAACAATGATAATTATGTGTAGTTTATGTCAACAATGATAATTAGGTGTAGTTTATGTCAAAAATGATAATTATGTGTAGTTAATGTCAACAATGATAATTATGTGTAGTTTATGCAAGCAGTGTGTGTGTATTAGTCTCCTGTCGTGGTCTACAGCCGCCACAATCTCCCGTGTGTCACCTGTGCCCTACATACATTGTACATGTAGATAGTGTACACAACAAGGAAGTGCATGTTTCTACTTTCGTTATGGTAATGAGCACACGTGATCAACACGGAATGACGCATGAGGTATTCAGTCAGCTGTTGTGCTCCACTGATACTTCAAGAAAATCATAATCATCATATTGACCATTTCACAAGGGGGAATTTTGCTATATATGGCTTTATTGTGTCATAGCAAGTAAACCAACTGTAAGAGCGCAACGTGTATTCAGGATTTGTACCAATTTCTCGCCAGTTGTAACGGACACTCTTCTTGTGGGAAAATGGTCTTTTTCTGGTTTAACTGTTCCTCTGTCAAGTACAACTATGTTATATTTAGGAACTATAATATTTAGGATAATATACTTGGTGTTGAAGAACAATCTCCGCACCTCAGACGGCTGGGCAACCCGTGCCCCTTTTGCTGGGTCATTTAATTTGCATGTGAGACGATCTTAGCGCTATAGCGGTCGTAACACCCTTGCTTCAGTATAGACATAAGATAGTCGTAGGGCTAAGATGGCTTCGTGCATGTGGCCCCTGAAGTCCCGGAGATATCACATGCTATGGCTGTCCATATCTAACGACTTCTAGGTCGATCAACACATGGCCGTGTGGGGCTGCAAATACTCTTTTACTCTTAATCTCATTATTAGATCTCAGAATTAGTCTGCCACAAAAGTTTGATGGAACTTTTTTACCATTGATATTGGCTATTCACATCCATTGACAACACCCGACGATTCATTACACACAATATCCTTGATTCGTGTGTGCAATTCGTGATTCCACAGAACCAAAGATGGTTACATATACCATAGACACTATTTGAAGCGTTTATATATGCCATAAGCTTTAATTGCATACTTTACTATCTGACCAATCTGTAAAACGTGATATGTACACACTGCGGCATCAAGTGATCAAACTTTAAGGTACACTTGTCTGTACAGTGGTTCTGAAGCACCTGCAGTTGGACAATGTTAGATAGATGTCAAGAGTGTAGACATTATTTACCCGATTTCAGATGGCAACCTCTCAGAAGCTGACGGACCATTTCTTGTCCTGTGCAATATGTACAGAGGTGTTTGACAAGCCCTGTACACTTGTGTGTAATCACACCTTCTGTCGGAAATGTATCGTCAACTACACCAAAACCAGACCAGAAGCCATCAGAGCCAAGTCCCTCCTGTGTCCATTCTGCAGAAAGATGACAAAAGTGTCCGCTCCTGAGAGACCAGTGGAGCAGTGGGCGGATGACGTCAAACCTATCTTTCTCATCCAGGGACTCTTGGACTCGTTTGGTCCTGGATTCAAAGGTAGCTACAACTTTATACCCTCTACCCAAGAGATATATGTATATTCCTGTTTGAGAAACAGTGAGATATAGCGATCACCACGTCTGCCCGTCTGTTTTCCATTTCCGGAGAAGAATTCCTAAATCGTTGGCCAAGTGTGCAAAAGTAACCAAATAACATTTGCTGCAAATATAACGAGTCTAGTGGTCTATGTCAGTAGATTAGTGGCAGAAGAATGTCCTACCCACCCCAGCATTGTCATTCGCCTGTCCCACCCACCCCAACCCTCCCATTCCCCAATCCCACCCACACCAACGCTCCCATCCACCTCTCCCACCCACCCCGATTCTCCCAATCAACTGTCCCACCCACCCGAACACTACCATTCACATGTCACACTCACCCCGGCATCCTCATTCAACTGTCCCACCCACCCCTGATTCTCCCACTCATCTGTCCCACCCACCCCGATTCTCCCAATCATCTGTCCCAACCACCCCAACACTCCCATTTCCCTTTCCAGCCCACCCCAACACTCCCATTCACCTGCCCCACCCACCCCAACACTCCCATTCACCTGTCCCACCCACCCCGGATTCTCCCAATCATCTGTCCTATCCACCCCAGCATCCTCATTCACCTGTCCCACCTACCCCGATTCTCCCAATCATCTGTCCCACCCACCCCAGCAGTCCCATTCACCTGTCCCATCCTCCCCAGCATCCTCATTCACCTGTCCCACCCACCCCGATTCTCCCAATCATTTGTCCCAACCACCCCAACACTCCCATTCACCTGTCCCACCCGCCCCATCACTCCCATTTACCTGTCCCACCCACCCCGACTCTCCAATTCACCTGTCCCATCCACCCCAGCATCCTCATTCACCTCTCCCACCCACCCCGATTCTCCCAATCATCTATCCCACCCACCCTAGCAGTCCCATTCACCTGTCCCAACCACCCCATCACTCCCATTCACCTGTCACACCCACCCCAGCACTCCCATTCACCTGTCACACCTACCCAAACACTCCCATTCACCTGTCACACCTACCCAAACACTCCCATTCACCTGCCATACATACCCCGACTATCCCATTCACCTGTCCCACCCACCCTAGCTGTCCCATTTACCTGTCACACCCACCCCAGCACTCCCATTCACTTGTCCCACCCACCCCAACGCTCCCATTCACCTGTCCCACCCACCCCAACACTCCCATTCACCTATCTTATCCACCCTAGCAATGCCATTGCTTGTCCCTACCGACCCTGTAATAACATTCACCTGTCACGCCACCCCAGTAGTCCTTTCACCTGCACCACCCACCCCAACACTCCCATGCACCTGTCCCACCCACCCCAACACTCCCATTCACCTGTCCAACCCACCCCAGTAGCCCTGTCCCCCCCACCACGATTCTCCCATTTTACCTGTCACAACCACCCTAGCAGTCCCATTCACCTGTTCGACACACCCCATCACTTCCATTCCCCCCACCCACCCCACCCCAGTAGTCCCATTCACCTCTCCCACCCACCCCGATTCTCCCATTTACCTGTCACACCCACCCCAGTAGTCCCATTCACATGTCCCACCCACCCCAGCACTCCCATTCACCTGTCTTATCCACCCCATCACTCCCATTAACCTGTCCCACACACCCCAGGAGTCTCATTCACCTGCCCAACCCATCCCGACCCTCCCATTTACCTGTCCCGATCACCGCATCCCAGGAGTCCTGTTCTGTTCTGTTCTTTCCCGACCATCCCAGTTGACATGACTCCTTAACCATTGTACTGAGACTCCCGTGTATAAAGCAACGCCCACAGATGGACTACAGGTGTACCATATAAAGTGGCCAGCTAATGTGTGGCTGGGTGCTCCACAGAATTCAATAAGTGATCGTCTCAGAAATGTGTCAGTAGGGTCTTACTGAGTTGGTCAATGTTTGTTACTAGGGTTTCCTGTGCTATACAGATACAATGAGAGATAAATATGTGTAAGTCTTTCAAGTAGGCGAGATGTTATTTTGCAAATGTGATGTGTTTACAGATACGACCAATTGTACCTACTGCCAAGAACATGGGGAGACAACTGTGGCTGTTGCTTGGTGCTCCGTCTGTGTTGATGCACTCTGTGAGAAATGTACTGGAGCTCACAACTGCATCCCATCATTTCGTCACCATGACGTCACTGACCTGTCTGGAGAGGTCAAGGTCAAGGGTAAGCGAAAGGCCATGTGCACAGAGCACAAACAGGAGTCGCTAGAATTTCTGTGTCAGGACTGCAAGAAGGCCGTGTGTCAGAAATGTTGCATACTTTACCACAGGAAATGTGATGCCGTTGTCACGATCCCCTCACAGATGGTGACAATGAAAACAGATCTGACAGAAATGAGGAAGTCATTATCAAAGAAGGAAGGTGAGACAAAACTTCGTGTGAAGGAACAAAAGTTGCAGGAGCAGAGAGAGAGAGATCATTATTCACTGATGAAGTCACATATTCATTCCGCATGCCAGAAAGTTATAGATCGGGCCAAGAAAAAAGAAAGGAAGCTACTCGATCGGATGGAAGATATTTCACATAAACACATCGGACAAATGAAAGCAGACATAAAGACAGGTGAGATGTCAGTACTGATATACCAACAACAGACGGAGCTGATAGACCTGGCTCTACAATCTGAGTGTGACATGGATGTGTATGAGATGTATCAGGGATGTGAGGCCGGTGATGTGGAGGCTGTCGGAGACGCTGACCTGAAGGAGAGAGGAAGAATAGCCAGTGTCACATTCAGACAGGACACAGGCAAGCTGAGTAAAGCACTGGACGATCTACAGCTGGGTGAGATAAAGGTCCTGTATGAGAGTATGCTGGACCTGAAGGCTACTCCTGTGTTACAAGACACCATTGACATCACCGTAGCAGGCAATAGGAGTACGGCAAACCCCAATGACGTGACAGTGCTGGTGGGGAATGACACAGACACCGTTGTAGTCACAGACTGGGGTAACACCAGTGTGAAGTCCTTCTACGTCAAGAACAACCAGACACAGCACAGTAAACTCAGTCTGAGTGGTGACCCATGGAGTCTGACCAAGTTGACACACAACCGGGTGGCTGTCACTGTCCCGTACAGTGAACAGATTGTAACAGTAAAAGTCAAACCAGACCTGGAGTTACTGACAACCATCACAACCAGCAAACAGTATGTGGGTATAACGTCCCTGACTCCATCAACACTAGCAGCTAGTTCCCAGTCTCCTCCCTGTGTTGATATCCTGGATATGACAGGAAACGTGCTGAGGTCTATCAGTCCCCTCCACAAAGGTAACGACATCTTACAGTATCCCAACTTCCTCAGTACCACGAGGACAGGTAACATCCTGGTGTCTGACTGTGGGACCAGCTGTGTCGTGTGTCTGACCCCCGAGGGAGATGTGGTATTCTGCTACCGCCCTACAGGAGACACAGCACTGAATTATCCGCGGGGTATCACAAGTACCAGCACAGGCGACATCCTGGTTACAGACTACAATCTAAACAGAGTCATTCATCTGACTGAGTCAGGACAGTTTGTAAGAAACATACTGACAGAAGAGGGCGGTATTAACTTTCCTGTGGGTGTCTGTGTAGACCCATCTGGTTACATGTATGTTTGTCTCAGCACTAAAGGAGTTATTAAGGTGTTCAATTGTAACCACATACAAATCTTGCGTGTCTGACGTGACGTAGGAGTATTTACACTCTCAGCTTCCTTCCGTCATCAGGGTAGGATCTTTAAAAGCCGAGGCAGTATGACGTGGAGCATAGACAAGAAATCTTAAAGATTATATTTTGGATACCTCAGGTATATGTATGTCTGCAATACATGAGATATCATCACTTAATTGAATAACCGATATGTCTGACAAATGTTTCACAGCCATTAGATAAACAGAATACTATGTCTTGCAGCACACGATAGATCAATGTACTATAGCACTATCAACAAAGTGAAACCGGTTGGCTCAAACATCTTTCATGTATATATTCTCCTTGTTGATAATGTTGTGTATCACTTGCTTGATAACGGTGTCAGCAACTACACCGAAACGTCGCATCCGTTACAACAAACAAGTTGTCTTTCTTTAAACAATCGCCCTTTTCATAATACCAATTTCTATATGCCACTTAAGGAAATCAATAAAATCAATTTAAAATAATGTGAGTATTTATGTGACTTATGCTTCTCTTCGACACTGATTTCAAGTCAATCAACACGTATTCCAAGTTTATATTAAGGACGAACTAATTATGGCCATGTATTAAGTGAATTAGAGTCTGTCAGTAACCCAGTGGTAAAGTATTCAGTCGTTACGCTGAAGACCTGGATTCAAGATTCATTAGCCAACCAACTCAAGAGAGAGAATCAGTTTTCAAACATAATTTCATTCCAAATCTGTGAAACCTGGGTTGAAAGCTTAATAAACTAATTAATTGTTAATGTGTACAAATCGCACTCTGGCTCAGAGTTCAGCTGTGGAATTGTAGGCATCATAAAGTAATTATTTCTAAAAGCCTTAATGTGTACAGCATTGTAGCCTGGGTGTCCACTACTGTAACTGTTGAGACCCAGCGCGTGTCAAGTCTGAACCAAGTACAACGGCCACATTCTTAAGCCCCAATGACTCAGGGTTCAACTATGGGAGTGTTACCCATTACCAGGAACCTTTGATCGCCACGTACAAATAGCTATGTAAAACATTATGTTTGGACGCAAATTCCAACTTAAACATCCTGTTATAAAATTTCAACACAGACAAACTGCAGACGTAAAACTGAATTGTAAGAAGTCAGTCCTAAAACAGTAGGCCTCTGTGCATTAAGATGACAGGTACTTACACAATACACAGTTGAGACAATGTTCCCCAACAATGACACGAAACACAGAAGGAAACATGAAATGCTATTGTTCAAAGCTCAGACAATGTTCCCCAACAATGACACAAAACACAGAAGGAAACATGACATGTCATTGTTTAAAGCTCAGACAATGTACCCCCCCCCCCCCCCCCCCCCCCCAAAAATACATTAAAACAGATGTGCCAGGTGTATTTTTCACGATTTAGAGGCCTCATGTTACAGAAAATCATACAAATCCTTTATTCAAACTGGGCGAGATGTCAACAGTTATTAGTGTGACCCAGTTATTGGAGACCGGATACTGATCACAGTGCCAGTGCTGACTTCCTTTGGAGCTGTCCAAGTCCAGGTATGTAGAAGTCCAGCACTATTCAAGACCCTCTTCTAACATTCACTATGAAGAAAATGTTGTATTTGAATTTGTCATGCAATAAGAGTACTTGACACAATACAGTGGCTATAAACACCCTGCATACCAGAGGATGATTCTAAGGCGGGCAGTATGGACATATTCAAAGGTCATGCAAATAAGGTCAATGGGTGACATTTCTCAAGGCCACTGGGTCTGTGACGGAGACAGTCAACAAAATGTACAGAACAATGATATATACAGTGCCACAGGTATGTAGCACACTGGGATATATAGTCAACACCTTACAATGTTTACAAGCATTATGATTTGAGCAAAGATGTCTCAGTAATGGTCTTCAGGTGTCAAACTACCCATAATCAAAACATCAGACTGAAACCCCTTGACATCCTTTTCATAGGTCACCTTGTTTCAGATTCTTTGTCAAAAGCTTCTGAGGACATGATGTTAAAAATGAGAGAAAAAATATTGTTAATGAATATAAGAGCATGGTCAAAGTGCAAAAGGCAATGTGCAAGAATTACTTCTTAAAATATGAAAGCTAGACACTTCATAAAGGCAATACTGGATCCAACAAAATCAACTAAGTGCATTGTTAGTACATATAAAGACCAACGCATATGAGGCACAGCCGTGCAAATTGCATTCCTGAGCAGTGCCAGATTTATACGGTCATCACATGTCATCACTTGTAGACAGGATCCACTACCCCTTTCTTTCTAGCACAGACATCACTTCAAACCAGGTTAAGCTATCCCATCTCCCGCAGGCATCACTTCAGACCAGGTTAGGCTATCCAATCTCCCGCAGGCATCACTTCAAACCAGGTTAAGCTATCCAATCTACCACAGGCATCACTTCAACCCAGGTTAAGCTATCCCATCTACCACCGGCATCACTTCAAACCAGGTTTGGCTATCCCATCTCCCGCAGGCATCACTTCAAACCAGGTTCAGCTATCCCATCTCCCGCAGGCATCACTTCAAACCAGGTTAGGCTAGCCCATCTCCCGCAGGCATCGCTTCAGACCAGGCTAAGCTAGCCCATCTCCCGCAGGCATCACTTCAGACCAGGTTAAGCTATCCCATCTCCCGCAGGCATCACTTCAGACCAGGTTAGGCTATCCCATATCCCGCAGGCATCGCTTCAGAACAGGTTAAGCCATCCCATCTACCACAGGCATCACTTCAAACCAGGTTAGGCTAGCCCATCTCCCGCAGGCATCGCTTCAGACCAAGTTAGGCTATCCCATCTCCCGCAGGCATCACTTCAGACCAGGTTAAGCTAGCCCATCTCCCGCAGGCATCACTTCAAACCAGGTTAAGCCATCCCATCTCCCGCAGGCATCACTTCAAAACAGGTTAGGCTAGCCCATCTCCCACAGGCATCGCTTCAGACCAGGTTAGGCTAGCCCATCTCCCGCAGGCATCGCTTCAGACCAGGTTAAGCTATCCCATCTCCCGCAGGCATCACTTCAGACTAGGATCCTGTCACGTCATGCACCATAGACTTTAGATCTGGTCAGAATCCTCTACCCCACATACATCTACCCCAGGACGAGGGATCCAGAACGGGGTGTAGGGGTGCAAACTTGGGTGAAAATGAAGTGTGTACCCCTCCTTTTCTCAATAGTGTGCAAACACCCACCCACCCCCACCCCCCTTTTTCAAAAGCTGTATCCGCCCCTGAACATACTGAAATCTTCAAAGTGTCAGTGGGTCCTGCGCCTTCCCCAGATGAAGCTTGGTGTCAAATATGAAGATAATCCAGTGAACGTCTCTTGAGATATCTTGCCGACAAAGGTAAAACGTTAAAGTCCCCTTGTGACCTTGAAATGACATTGTGACCGCTAAACGCGCTGCGGGGTATAACACTGAGGAAAAGTGTTATGTGGCGGTGATGTTTGTTGTGTAACGCGACACGGAACAGTATCGAAATATCTGGCACGTTAGGGGAGCTAACTCTTGCTTCAAGCCTCACATTACATCTCAAGCCACAAGAAGACCATCATTGTGTGTGATGATCTTTACACCCTCGATCCTATCTGGCTAGTCATTGCTATCAAGTTGGATGAATGTTACTGAGTGGTGAATAGTACCATCATTGTCTTTATTGTTTGTGGGGCGGTGGGGTAGCCTCGTAGTTAAGGCCTTTGCTCGACAAGCTTCCCGGTTTAGTTCCCCACATGGGTACAATGTGCGAAGCCCATTTCTAGTGTACCCTGCCGTGATTTTGCAGGAATATTGCTAAAAGCAGCACTTTGTTGCTTGCATTTCAGTTTACCTTTCAAATTGTACTGATTCTACTTTGTTTATTTTAGAATACAATTGTTAAAAACATCACATTTCTTTGTTGTTTGTATCTCAGAGTATCTTTACAGCCTGGTACTCATTTAACTTTGTACTTTCAACTTGGGGATGAGACAGACAGAAGTATATCCAGTAGTATTTGGGCCATAAGGTCTATGATACAGTTAACAAATACAATATAAATTACACGTGATCATAAACATTTGAATTTCATATAGATCTTATTTTAAATATCTCATTGAGTTATATAGCTATTAGGTGCTGTACATGACTGTTTTGTGACATGAAAATAGCCTCAACGGTTAGTGGGCCTCTGGAGACTGATTGTAGCTTCTGTAGATATCTGGCTCTGGAGACTGGTTGTAGCTTCTGTAGATATCTGGCTCTGGAGACTGGTTGTAGCTTCTGTAGATATCTGGCTCTGGAGACTGGTTGTAGCTTCTGTAGATATCTGGCTCTGGAGACTGGTTGTAGCTTCTGTAGATATCTGGCTCTGGAGACTGGTTGTAGCTTCTGTAGATATCTGGCTCTGGAGACTGGTTGTAGCTTCTGTAGATATCTGGCTCTGGAGACTGGTTGTAGCTTCTGTAGATATCTGGCTCTGGAGACTGGTTGTAGCTTCTGTAGATATCTGGCTCTGGAGACTGGTTGTAGCTTCTGTAGATATCTGGCTCTGGAGACTGGTTGTAGCTTCTGTAGATATCTGGCTCTGGAGACTGGTTGTAGCTTCTGTAGATATCTGGCTCTAATTCGGACTTCACTGTCCTTGTCACAAACAAAACATACGCGGTTCTCGTCTTCATTAAGGTTATCATTACAAAGTTCACATATGGGGAAATATACCCGGATGGTCGCCTTTGTATCTTTACTTTACTTTACCGTTTATGTTGAAGTTAGTTAGCGATGTTCTAAACTTGAAGTAAACTCTTGTAGCTGTTTGTTCCTGATGTTCGTGATATATGATTCACTTTCCAGTGTAAACTTGAATGAAATGTAATGGGTAAGAAAACTGGAACTGTTTATCTCATGATGCCAGTTTGGGAGTGATATATCTTTGAGGTGCTGTTTAAAACTTGATAAGAATTGTCTACATATCCGACATCCTGGGCGATCTATACATGAGAGATCCTAGGTTGAACGGTGTTTCTCGAATATCAGAAGTCCAGTTTCTCTTTCCTACATCATCGAGTGATTTAAGCATTTGGTAAAACTGGTGTGGGCAGCGATCGGTTGTCATTCGTAGAACTTTTATCCAGTACTTGATGGCCTTTGCTTGTGTCGATATAAAAATCAAATGTCTTCCTGTGTCACCTAGAATTGCCATGTTTGAAGCAAATTTTCCAACTTTGAGAAAACTTTGTGTTTAAAGTTGTTTGTCTGAATCTTTACGGGGAACTTGTGAATCAACACATAACAATATCATGACTGTGTTCTCATTTCCCTCAGATAACTCTCTTATATCAGTGAAAGTGGATTAAATCAGATAGCCGTTTTGTCAATGTAAAATTGCAGTTGAGGTTTTGTGTACCTTTATCCAGCATTTCATTCACATTACTTCCGGGTGCTTTCCTGGAGATGAACGAGTGACTCATTGAATATGACACTTGTGTACAGATCTCAATTCTAATATATGACCAGTCAACGCAGGACGCAGTGAGTGAGTGAGTGAGTGAGAACAGGACACACCTCGCAGCAAGTGACCTGTGACCCTTGAACCATCTGACGAGTGAGTGTGTGGATGCGTGAGTGAGTGAGTAGCTTTTAATTCTGCATTTGAACAGTACTCCAGGTATATCATGGTGTGTCAGCTGAACATAGGATCAAACCTCAAAGTGATGAAAGTCTCAGAAATTTACAACTTTTGTGAAACCCATGAGTATGTGTTTTGTGCTGATAAACATAATTAGGGATTCAAACCAACCATTACAGGTTCCTGGCATGCCCAAGGGAGGCAACTCCACACAGCAAATTACAGAGATCTTTCTTATGAAATATGTGTGTAATTCACTAAATTTCATGTGTAACACACTGAAGAAATATCTTTTTAAATTGTCTGAAATTCTTTGATTTTATTTAACAATTCCAATCTACATTAAAATATGAATTCATAAAATCTGGCTTCATTTAAAAAATGATAACCCCTTGACTTT